ACTACTCTGTGATTATTGCCTATCCAATAATGTTTTTAAGTAAATTACTTTCTCATAAATTACCATGGATTGATTGCAAAAATGAGTGGAATACCGAATATTGTGTGGAGGTTTTAGAAGTAAGTGCTTAAAACCTAATTTGGTATTTTGTGGACGGACATTTTTGTTGTGCAGAAATATTTTTTAAAATTCAATATCTACCTGTTCAAAATGCTTAATTTCTTTTATGAATACGAAAATTAATTGTATATTAAAAATAATGATTATTTATAAAATTTAAAAATTTTGGGATTTAATTCTTTTATTATGGTGTCGCTACCTCTGAAAAGGATACAACGGAAATCACGCTGGTATAGCTTTTGAGTTTTTTGAATGTTCATTATTCTTAAGTGAAACAAATAAAACTCAATAATAATTATTATACCTGAGTAAAAAAATAATCATTATTTGTAATCGAAAACATAAAAATCACGTAATAATTTATTGGTTAAACTCGAAAAATAAAAATCTTTGTAAATTACAGTGGGACGTACGAACTCAAATACGTGAGTGTAGTTAAAATTGTTTTACGACGATTACAACTTGTTGATCTTTTTGATTAAAATTTAAAAAACAATGATTATTTTCCGTCCCTGCTTATTTTGCTTTCCTCTTTTCTAAATGAAAGGTATCTTTTTTCATTTTCACTGTATGAAAACTATGTAAAATAAACCCGTTTTATCCGTTTTTTCCTTAATTTCGAAATAGGGAACCGTTTTTTTTTAATTGCAATTTTTCGAATAACTCAAAAACCGGTTTTGGTAATAAGGCGAATAATCGAATAGCTTAGTATCAAATAAAAGAGAAAATTCTGTAAAATAAAACATTTTGGTGCATTATGACGAATGGGTATGGAAAATATTTTTTTTTTTTTAATTTTGTTCTTGAATAACCGTGAATATTTGCATTGTTTATTTTTGCAAAAATTGTATGTTAAGTACTGTATACACGCGACCACGTCCTAGAATTTCGTCCTCCTAACTTTATTAGCTTAAAAGAATAAAATTAACTAAAAGCGCATTTTCAACACCTTTTCGTACTTGTAAACTAAAAAACTTAATTTTTTTGAAATTCTACTGAACTTTAAATAAATAAAGAAGCAGTTTTACAATATTTCGCCCATAATTTAGTGAGTATATTGTGTATTTTGAATTTTTTTACAACACTTTTTTTAACTTGTTCTCTATGTATGTATGTATGTATATATATTTGTTAGGGGCAACCCCTGAAAGCAATTTTTAACCAGCTTCCCGATGGCCTAGAGACTTGAAACTTCACGTGACAATGTAACACGAAAATTGAGTTAATCCGATAAGTGGCGCAGAAGTCAAGATATTTGAAAACCCCGTATTTATGGTTTGATTTGGTTCATATTTAGAACGTATATAACTATATGAAAAGGAATAACTTCACTCAAAATTTTGCGGATAGCTAGCTCACGGGTAGATATATGTGGTTGGTATTTAGAAAGCTTGCTTGTTTTTTTTTCACCGAAAAATTTATAACCTCGATAAACTAAATCACAAATTAAATTTATGCCTGATTTCATTCGTCGAACAAATAATAAATTTATATTATTAAGGATTTGATACAACTTTCAATTCATTTGATTTTTGGTTTTGTTATTTGACTAATTGAAAATCACGCAATCTAAATAAAGAACCACATTGCTCTAATTCTAGGGCCCTTCTTTTCATTTATTCCATAATTTACATGAATACATAAGATAAAATTATTACATTTGACCTTTTTCCATTATTTCAGTTAGGGAAACGTAATTTTACACACCATACCGGCTTTCGAACACCAGCCGATGAGTTTTTTCAGTGAGTATACTTTTTGNACCATACCGGCTTTCGAACACCAGCCGATGAGTTTTTTCAGTGAGTATACTTTTTGCCGGTGTACGAAATTCCTGTATATATAAATATTTTAATATTCTTTTTATTACAGCTACGAAATATTACAAGTTTCTGATAGTATAGAAGAATTGGGTGGCATCGTTTGGCCGCTATTTTATTGTCTGATCTTTGTGTGGCTCTCCGTTTACGTTTGCATTATTCGTGGCATAAAAACCGTAAGTACGCACTAACGAATATCAGGATACTTTCCCTAAATAGTATAATAATTTACCACATTTTATCAGGTCGGCAAAGTGGTTTATTTCACCGCGGTCTTTCCCTTCTTCATACTTTTCGTGCTATTCATACGTGGCATTACCTTGCCCGGTGCAATGCGAGGTATTCTATTCTACATTAAGCCCGAGTGGTCACGCCTATTGGATTTGAAAGTTTGGGCTGATGCTGCCATACAAATTTTCTTTTCACTTGGACCCGGTTGGGGTGGCATCGTCAATATGGCAAGTTTCAATAATTTTCGAAATAATGCCAGAGGTGATTCATTTATAATACCGATTGTAAATTGTGCCACCAGCATATTTGCGGGATTTGTAGTTTTCTCCGTGCTGGGTTTTCTATCACGTGCGTAATGCAGAATGCAGTTTTTCTTGGAAAACATGAATGATTTATTGATAAAATGTGTGTGTGTTTTTTTTTCATTCATTGCAGATCAGTCAGGTATACCAGTCGGTACGGTGGCCACATCTGGTCCAGGTCTGGCATTTGTTACATATCCCCAAGCAATTGCTATGCTACCAGTGCCTCACCTGTGGGCTGCGCTATTCTTTTTTATGCTCTTCCTGCTCGGCTTGGATAGTGTGGTGAGTTTTTATTGCGCAATTTCTTGGCTTTATTAATACTTCAATTTGCAGCTTGTTTATTTATTTTAATCAAACCTTATTACAGTTTGTGCAAATTGAGGCCATTATATCGTCTGTCATCGATGAGGTACCAAAACTGCGCAAACATAAGGCGCTCGTCACATTGGGATCAGTATTCATTATGTTTTTGATGTCAATTATAATGGTGACAAGGGTAAGTGTGACTAATTCAAGCCTTTTCAAGTATAGAAATACTAGCTGGNTTGTGCAAATTGAGGCCATTATATCGTCTGTCATCGATGAGGTACCAAAATTGCGCAAACATAAAGCGCTCGTCACATTGGGATCAGTATTCATTATGTTTTTGATGTCAATTATAATGGTGACAAGGGTAAGTGGGACTAATTGTAGCCTTTTAAAGTATAGAAATACTAGCTGGTATTAATTTTTAAGTGCCACCCTTACTCTAAAATGTTTGTGGCTAGAAGTGGTCTGGTTAAAATTTTACCACGTGAGCTGATGTGCTTAAAACCAATATTTTTAATTTTACCTCGACAGTGGTTGCAGATAATCGGAGATTTTAAGTGAAAAGATCTCTAGATCTAGATTTTTAAATAGTTCCTTCTCTTCTATCCAGCTGTGAGTACCTTTAATTACTTTTAGAGTATTTTATTAATCGAATATAGACATACATATATCAAAAGTGGTGTATGGTTTATAATTACAAGCATCAACGTTACGGGTGATATATGTATGACCTGCAAGAATGGAGTCCTACCTTATTTTCTTGACATTGTTCCTGAACGCCCCTCAACCGTCGTTGATGAGGTTACAGACCAGGGTTGCCACTGATGAAAAAATACTTACCACCCACTTGAGAAGAATCTACGAAATCTGGATAATATCTACGAATAACTTTTTTTTTGTTATTTGAATAAAATTTATAGCTTTTCTTTTTTTTTAGTTGCTTCAATAAAAATTAAAATTTTTTAATAAGGAACTTTTTATTTAACTACACATGTTAATGGCATATTCTCGGTTTCCTTCATCCAAAAATATAACTGATGAAACTAAAAGGTATTAACGAAACTGCATCATTTGAAAAAACTTCAACTGGACAAATCTATAAAAATCAAGGACTCAAGTTATATATAACATTTAGAAAAATTTCAAAAATTCTCGTCTAAGTTTCGAAAATTTTACTATGAAATTTTTAACCTTTTTGGGTATGCCCAAGGAAATTGAGTATAACCAACAATATTTTTTTGTTTTTCATTTAACAATTTATAAAAGCTGGCGTTGATTTTTTTTATTTTCTTGCCATAAATCATAGTGTGTAATTGCATACCTGTTCATGTTTTCTTTTTATTTAAAGAATTATTTAAAATATTTACATACATATGTAAGTAGAATACACTTTTGGAAAGAAATTTATAAAATAAAAATATTAAACGGCGGAAAATAAAGCGCGGGAACGGAAAGTTGTATTTGTTTTCAAAGAAAATACTTTAACAAAAATCTATAAAAATGGAAAAAAAATTACCTTTTTACAAACTCAAATTTTTTCTACCAATTTTGATAATAATTTACCAAAGTGGCAGCCCTGGTAGTACCAGGCTGGTACTGACATAAATTCTACGGGCCTGTGGAAGCTATTTAAGACATTATTACTATGAAGATCAGACATAACTTCCAGAAGATTTCCACGAAAATCTCATGGAAGTTACGTCCGATCCGATCGCTCACTGTGACAGAATTGGCATATTACATGACCACAGGCAATAAGACGAACTTCGCACGGATTTATTTTACAGTTTAAACAGATTTTGAGGCACGTCAGAAGTGTTTGCATTTGAATTTTTCTTAGAAAATTCGATCATGTCATCATCCAATTCGTCCTCAATTTCAATATCTAATTCGCCTTCTTCATCGTTTTCTAATGGAGTTTTTTTTAGAATCTAGATTGCCTTTTCTAAACCCACTTTCGACGAAAATTGTTCAATATTTATTTGTTCCTCCAATAATAACTTGAAGGCCGTATCGATTTCAGAATTCCACCGAAGAGTTCGTTTTTTTCTTGACCGCTGGCTGATAACAATCATTCATAACTCGCAAAAATTGGGTAGATTGAGATTTGAAGCGAAAGAAAATGGAAGAAATTCCCGTTTATAGGAAAACGTTCTCTCAATGCAGCATTAGCGTTCTAAAGCCGAAGTGGTGCCCACTTTTAAACTGAAAACCAACAGTTCATTCAACATTTTCCAAAACTAAAGCACAAATTTAAAAAAGAACCTGCTAAGTCATAAGAGTTCCACTCACCTCATCTTATATCCATCAAATATTTTATCTCCTGAAAGAATCGGTAAACACAATAAACTCAAATAGATCGTCTTGGTGAGCGGCTCATTAAAATACAATTATCCATGGAACTTACGTCTGACATATGTAAATTCCATGAATTAGATCTGTCAGGACATAACTTCCATGGAACTTATATCACATTTCGGTGGAAGTTATGTCCGTGGAAGTTATGTCGAAATCCCCTTGATAGACAATTGAAAAAATTATAAATGATTAAATTCAGATTACTACTAATGCCTCTATTGTTAAAAGCTTCTGATATGTCAAAAATATACCAATTTTGTACTCCCTATTCTCCTAGTTTTACTTTTTCTGGTTTATAATAAGCCTTTCGTTGGCACGAGTAAGCGGCCCCGCTAAAAGTCAGACTCATAATTTAAAAGACGGTACTAACAGAATTTTACCTGAGTCCGCTAGAGTAAAATGGTCTATAGTTATTCGAACCAATGGGCAACGATGAACAGATAAGGAAATCGCGTCAGCCCCTTATGCTTAACCCATTGCCTATTATAAAGTCTAACTAATCGGCTTAGGGACAAAGCTATTGCCAGTTGTTTGCAATTTCTTCTGAGAGGCCTCTAAAGCAGGCTATGCCCATTAAGAATATACGACGTAATACAGTTTCTTATTTCTATTGCCGCATATGCGTAGAAGATGAGGATATTTCCATCTGATCTGTCCTGCTTTGCGAGATTAAAGTTAAACAATCTCGGCACGTATTCCATCCATACTCCCAAGAAACCCCTTGGAATGGACATCAGTCCAACAAAGCTTAATTTTGGGCTTTTTCTAAACACTTTATGTGATTTATATGCAGTTAACGTTCTGGAAAAAGTTTATTAAGTGATAACAGAATGGACAACATAGGAAAAATCCCTCGCGGAGTTCGACTTTAGTGATGAGAAAAAGAATAGCGCAGTCAGTATCGGTTATTGAAGAATAAAATGGATAAAAATGCTAGATCGCCCTACCTCGGCAGCCCTAGCTTCGCGAATATATTGTTTTTTTTTTTTTTTAATTTGACTGTCGCACGGTGTTCTAATATCAGAAATATTGTCTACAAAATATTTATGTCATGTCATGTACTGTTAAATTTCCTCTCTTTCGCAGGGTGGTATGTTCATACTACAACTCTTCGATTGGTATTCCGCTTCCGTTTCGGTAATACTCATTTGCGTGCTGGAAGTTGTGATGGTCGCCTGGATTTATGGCGTGGATAATTTCATCGACGATATTTACTTTATGATTGGAAAAAGGCCAGGCATTGTGTGGAAATTCTGTTGGATGTATCTTACGCCGATTATATTAATTGTATGTATAAATCGTGTATTCCTCGTTTTACGTCGGTACCTATGTATGTACATATATCATAACTGTTTCTCTCTCATCAACCAACAGGGCATGTTCTTCACCAGCATCATATTCAATCGAGACATAACCTATAACGGCATAATTTATCCACGTTGGGCCATAGCGCTTGGGTGGCTGAGCTGTTGCATCTCTATCGCCTGCATTCCTACATATATGATTTATGCGCTAATGCGTGGCAAAGGTTCGCTATTGGAGATTTTACGAAAGCAATTGCAAGCCAACGATTGGACACCGGCAAGTGAGGAGCATCGAATTGAATATGAGGAGTATCAGCGTACACGGAAATTGACGTGTGAATTGAATAATATATATGAGAGTGGCAAGTGTGGCTAAAGTGCGGATGTGTAGATTTACATAAATATGTAGTTGTTGTGCAGCATAGGAAAACACAAATTAGATTATTTTAAATAAAATGCAAGCAAGTCCGTAAACAAAAAGATTAGACAATTTTAAAGTACATACATATTTGTATATCCATAAGTATTTTATAGAAACCAAAATAAAGTAAGAGCATTTATTCATTAAAAAAAAAAAAAAAACTATTTTAACATTTTCATAAATCCGTCTTTGGTTGATGCAAAGCTTTTACAAATAGGGTTTGTGGAAAAGCAATTTCTCTACTAAACTTTCACTACAGCTACTATTTACGAAGCTCTGCTAATAATTTTTCTCATTTAACAAAATCACAATTTCCTTATACATTCACAATTATGTGCATATATAGTTACACATATACATATCTACATACATATATACAGTAATTTAGTTATAATTTTTAGCCGTAGTATTTATGTTGGAAATTCTTTTACATATTGCACAATCTCACAAGCTTTTTATGGCGCAACTTCATCTTCAATTTGACTCAATTGATGCGTAATATCCATATTACCCATAGCCTCTTCGTAACGTTGTCGTTCCTCCATTTCAACGGGATACCAATCCATTGGCCGACAGCAACGTCGAAAGCGCATCATAAATGGGCCCGATGTTTGCAGCAGCAAATAGATCATGTAACCGGGTAAGTAGAGCCAAGGTAGAATGATGAGCAAAACCGCTACAATATGGATGACGATTGAGGCGATACTGTGCTCGTAGTAGGCAGCAATAACCGCAATTAACTAAAATGTTAATGCAAATACAATTTTGGTTAGTTATGAGCGAGACTGTTTTTTTTTGGTTTTATTAAATAAATAGTAGGTGAAACGACATTGTGAATAAATAACTAAATGTTGTCGTCCCTCACATACCAATAGTAAACAGAGGCAAATCGGCGCAACAAACCGCAATACATTCACTTTCCATGTGGGAAAACGTTGGCCCAGCATGAATTCGATATCACGCTGAAAGCGGAAACGGCCGTAAATCCATAGTACGACCAGCAGCAGTAGAAGATTGAGTGCTGTTTGCGTGAAGAGTGAGTCCATCGACATAGCGCTGAAGAAAACGACGCCGTGCTATGGTTTGGAAATAAAAGAGAGAAAGGAATTTAGAACAGGATCGCAAAATAACGGGTAAATATCGAGATTTTTAATTTTAGATCTTGGCGAAACAGTTTTGTTGTTTTTTTTTTAATTCTATTTTTATTTTTTTTTAATGTTAGATAATTGTATTTTTTTTATTCGGATTTATATTTTTATTTATTTTTGATAACTTTTAACCGTTGTAATACAGACGGCATCTTTCCATGATTCCATGATTATTCTGGATCGCAAAAATAAAAATTATAAAATAACGGTTAAATTTGATCAACAAAATATACTCTCATTTTAGCGCTGGAATTATGGTTTTTATTATAAAGGTCATAACGATATTTTTCGATACATCGAAGAGCATGCATCGATTTTCATGGGATTTTCAGATAATATTTCCCAAAAAAATGTTATAAGAGAGATAACTGCGTTTCTAATGTAACTTCTTGGAGTAATTTAAACTTTTTGGTGAAAGTCACTTCTCTCTTTGCACAACTGAACAACTGAAATGAGGTTTCAATGTACTAGAGAGGTTAGTTTTTAAAAAAACATCGATGCATCGATAAATCAACTATTTATGCATCGAGTGGAAAATTTTTGATGCATCGATGTTTTTCTGACGTTACCGTCGTAGCTATGAATGTGGTGGCAGAAACCCCAAATGATTGTATTGCAGATCTACTTCCCCAGATCTAGCATAGCCTCGGCTGCTCTTATGAGTCGCCTTTATAAAGTTGACTCCGATGTTTCGCTCATCCAGAAATCTTGGGTGAACAACTCAAGGGTCCGGTCAGGTCAGGTGGAGCGAAATGGAAGTAAATATAGAACCTGTGCAATGGCAAATTTGGATCTTTCTTCTTTTTTTTTATTACAGCTACAGCGATATTACGAGCACCATACTGGAGATAGGAGGCATGTAGATCGTGCTGGCATTGCATGCTCAGGGTCTTGGTAATTGGACTTTATGCGGAAAGCGTGCAGGACGCCGTTCAACAAGGCAAGAAAGCTGAGTAGCGAATCTGAGGTGCAAAGAAGTAAGCAGTTTTTGTGTGCGTAAAGCAAAGTGGTCTTCCTGAGGGAGCTTTTAATAATACAGGAATTGAGGGTACGACCTACCGAAATTCTAGGCAAATTTCGACTAAATAGCTGGAACCGATAATTGTCTCGAAGCTTATATTCTCTAAGAGATCTTCCACAGTTGTTGCTCTAACTGGCCCGCTAGTTGTGGTATCACAACAAACCTTAAACTCTTGGCCTATGTGTGTCCCTACTTAGCAGTGACAGCCATATCCATGTACCTACCAACCGAGGCAGTGGCCCTTGACTTGACTCTGAGCAACACTTTGGAAATAATTCCATGGAAGGTGTGAGTAGAGACGATCCTTAACCTGCAGTTCTTGTTAACCAGACATTGAGTAACTGGCCTCAAGAGGCAAAGTCGGATGCGTTCAACCATAGCTGTACCGTGACTAAGTCGAAGGATAAGTTCGAAATAGTTTGGTGGCTGTTCCATAAAGCAATGAGTACTTAGGTTAGAACATGGCTGATATAAGGCCTTGCAAGATTTAATATATCGAAATCGCATGTTGGAGAGCTTTTCTTTTAAAATTTGAATGCAATTTTACATATTTACGTATCTCTTGCGACTTACATTTGAACAAGTATACAAGGATAGAACTGCTAGCACACCGATCAGTCCAAAAGTGACTTCAGTTCTACGCGAACGCAACATTTCGAACTCATCGAATACGCTTTGGAATACCGAAAATAAGGAAGTGATCTATTAGAAGGAAAAATAAAAGGTAATTTAATATAAATTTATTTTATGCACATATATTTTTACCATTGTAATCAACGCCATCAATGCCAACATGGCAAAGAAAATTATTGACCAGAGATTCGGCCAACTCATCGAAGCCAAAACGCTGCCGCTGGACAAATACAATGCCCAGTGATGATTTACATAGACATACAAGTTATCTATATCATT